ATACTTCCATTATCCCAAAACCTCGTACCTATCTATAGTCACCTCCCATTTTTCTGACACTTAGGGGCTGGATGTAGCTCAGATAGACTACAAAACCGTGGGTTTAATCTCTAGGACTGAAAAAAATCATTTCAGTACCACCGGTTTCATCTTTTTTTTTTCCCCCTTTTGGTCTTTTGAGACAGGATGTCCTGGCATGGAACTATGTGGCCAGGAACTATGTAGGCCATGTTGGCCTCAATCTTACATAGATCCACTGTCTCTGCCTTCCAAGTGCTGGGATTAAAGGTGTGCACCATCACACCTGGCATCATTTTATTTATATACATTTACCTGTCTTGGACATTAATATAAATGGAATTATATTTCCAAGTTGGGCATGATGGCTGTCTCTTGTATCCCAGAACTCAATATGTTGTGGCAGAAAGATTGTTGTAAGTTCAAGGTCAGCCTGGGCTACACAATGAGTTCAAGGCTAACCTGGGCTCTGTAGAGGAACTCTGTCTAAAAAATGAAATTGAAAAAAGAACAGCTTTTCTGAATAGCTTCTTCTCCTTACTATTTTTTTCATGTGTTGTAGCATGTATTAATATTCCTTTTTCTTATTATGACTAAATCATACTCTTTAAAATTGGGAGGTGGGCTGGAGAGATGGCTCAGCTGTTAAGAGCACTGCCTACTCTTGCAGAGGACCCAGAGCACTGGCTGCTCTTGCAGAGGACCCAGATTCAGTCCCCAGAACCCACAACTAACTATTCATAACTCCAGTTCCCCGCTAACAACTGTCCATAACTCCAGTTCCAATGGATCAGATGCCTTCTTCCAGTCTACACAGGAATTGCATGGATTTGGTGCACCAACATACATGCAGGCAAAACATTCATGCACAAAGAAATTTCGTGTGAGGTGTATGTTCATGTGTGAGCACATGCCCGTAGAGAGCAGAGAACAACCTGTGCTTGACCTTCCATCTTGAGACAGGGTTTCCTGTTGTTCGTGGCTGTGTATGCCAGGTCAGCTGGCCTGTGACCTTCCAGAGGTTCTCCTGTCTCTGCTTCTCTCCATGGGTGCAATGGGATTACAGGTGCGAGCTACTTCATTCAGCTTTATATGATTTCTAAGAATCTGAACACAAGTCTTCATGTTTGCATGACAAGCGTGGGGAGCCATTTCTCCAGCCCATGATTATGGATATACTAATATGTGAGAGGTTGTTTCCACTTTTTGGCTTTTATGAATAATGCTTCTGTCTTAGTTTGTTCTTCATTGCTGTGACAAAACACTCTGACCAGTACCAACTTGGGGAGGAAAGGGTTTATTTGTCTTACATCTCCCAGGTCGCACGCAGTTCATCAGGGAGCCCAAGGTAGGAACTCAGGGCAGGAACTTGGAGGCAGGAGCTGGAGCACAGGCCATGGAGGAACGCTGCTTACAGGCTTGCTCCCTCGGCTCCTGCTCAGCCTGCTTTCTTATGCAACACAGGCCCACCTGCCCAGGGGTGGCACCACCCACAGTGGGCTGGGCCCTCCCACATCACTCATCAAGAAGATGCCCTTCAGACATGGCCACAGGCCAGTCCAATGGAGGCAATTCCCCGATTGAGGCTCCCTCAACCCAAGTGTGTCAAGTTGACACTAAAGCTATCCAGCATAGATGCTGTGACCATTTATGCACAAGTTCTGTGTGGGTGATATCTGCATGGGTGTGTGGGTATGCACTTCTATGTGGGTGTGCACACCTGTGTGTTCAGAGAGGGCCAGAGGAGGACACTGAGTATCCTCTATTCATTTCCACTTTATTTCATTGAGGCAGTGTCTCCCCGAACCTGGAGCCCAAGGTTTTGGGCCAGGCTGGCAGCCAGCAAGCCCCAGCAATCTTCTTATCTCCACCTGCAACCACACACAGTGCTGGGGCTACAGGCACATTCAAGACCACACCTGTATTGTTTGTTATGTGGGTACTGGGATCTGAACTCAGATTTTCACAGTTGTGTACACTCAACCACTGAGTCATGTCTCCAGGTCATATAGGTTTCAGATGACATGTTTCATTTCTTTGGGGTGTACAGCTCAGAGTCTAACTGTTGGGTGTGGTGGTTTGAATGAGAAAGTCCCCTATAGACTCCAAGTATTTGGACATTTTATTCCCAGTTGGTGGTGCTGTTTGGGGAGGTCCTAGGAGGTGTAGCCTTGCTAGAGGATGCATGTCACTGGGGGTGGGCTTTGAGAGTTCTTAAGCCCTGTCATACTTCCTGTCGCTGTTTCCTGTCCCTGTTTGGAGATGTCTTCTCTTGGCTTTCTGCTCTGGCCACCTCTACCGCCATGCCTCACCCACCATTATGGACTCTAATCCTCTGAAACTATGAACCAAATAAACTCTTTCTTCTATACTTGCTTTGGTCACCGTGTTTTATCATAGCAACAGAAAAGTAACTAATAGACTGGAGCCATGATTAAGCTTTCCTCTGCAGCTGCACCATCTTACTTCCCCACCAGCTAGGCCTGAGGGGCCAATTTCTCCACTTCCTGGTGAGTATTTATTGTTTTTTGACAATATCCATCCTAACAAGTGTGGAGTGGACTCACATTGTGGTTTTGATTTGCATTTACCTGATGGCTCATAATGTTAAACTCTTTCTGTGCTAACTAGACATTTTGTCTCTTCTTTGGAGACATGTCTGCTAAGCTATTTGTTTGTTTTTTTGAGTCAGGGTGTCCCTGTAGCCCCAGCTGCCCTGGAACTCCTTATGTAGACCAGGCTGGCCCTGATCTCAGAGATCTGTCTGCCTCTGCCTCCCAAGTGCTGGGATTAAAGGCATATACCCCCTCCCCATGCCCAGCCCAGTATAATTTTAAAATAAAACATGTTGAATTGGAGATTTATGGTCTGTTTTATTAAATTTATTTATTGTGTATATGTGTATGTATGCATGTGTGTGTGTATGCATGTGTGTGGGCATGTAAGTTCCACAGCACACTTGTAGGGTCAGAAGACAATTCTCAGGAGTCTGTTCCACAATGTAAGTCTTGGAAGTCAAACTTAGGTCATAAGGTTTGGCAGCAAGTACTTTAACCCACTGAGCCATCTTGATGGCCCCAAGTATTATTTTAATTGCCATATGTGTGCAGGCATATACAAGGCAGAGTTTTAGTTCCCAATCTCAGAATCAATACCATTTTTTTCTATGTAAACGTTAATGACATACATGAACTGTTAATGTAGTCACAGAATTGGTATTTGTTGAATCTAATAAACACGATGAAGTTATTCCAATAAATATATCCACAATAAAGTACTAGTAAATAAAAGGAATAAAGAACAACTTGAGGAGGCTGAAGAGACGGATCAGTAGTTGAGTGAGCACCTGGGGCTGGAGAGATGGCATAGCAGTTAAGAACACTGGCTGCTCTTGCTTAGGACCCCAGCCCAGTTCCCAACACCAATATGGTGGCTAACTCCAGTTTAATAACCCTAGTTAGTAACTACATTTCCAGGGGGATCTGATGACCTGTTCTGGCTTCCATGGGCACTGCACACATTAATGCACTTACATACATACTGGCAAAACCCTGATTCACATAAAAACAAATAAAAAAGAAGGCTGAGCTCTGCTCTTGCTGAGGACTGTTTATTTGGTTCCCTGCACCCATGGGGAGGGGATGTGTTTGCACAGAAGGGGAGGGCACAATCACTTGTAATACACCTTTAAAGGCTCTGGCTCCCTCTTCTGGCCTCCCAGGGCACCTGCACTCACATGTGAATACCCACCTACACAGCTATAATTAAAAATAAACCTCCTTTAATTCCAGCACTCAGGAGGCAGAGGCAGGAGGATCTGTGAGATCCAGGCCAGCCTGGTCTTCATAGTGCATTCCAGGCCAGCTGGGGCTACAGGAAGACTGTGTCTCAAAAAGACAATAAATAAATAAATCTTAAAAACATATCTTGAGGATGTGAACACAATCTTCAGAGAGCTGCAACAAGCTGGATCTTAGTGAATGAGAAGTCTTCCAATCAGAAAGAAAAAAGGTAGAGACATTACATATAAAGAGAACCATAAGTTCAGAAGTATGCATTAGTAGTAGTTAACCACTAAACAGAATCACATCCTGTACAGGTAGAGGTTATCTTCCCCCATGTACAGTCAAGGTCATGCACACATCAAACTCTTCACTGTCAGGGCCAAGTTCGAAAGAGCTGCCTGAGCCGGGTGTGATGACACACTTCTTTCATCCCAGCACTCAGGAGGCGGAGGCAGGCGGATCTCTGAGTTCAAAGCCAGCCTGGTCTACATAGTGAGTTCCCAGGACAACTGGAGCTACAGGGAGACCCTGTCTCAAAAAGACAAAAAAAAAAAAAAAAAAGAAGAAGAAAAAAGAGCTGCCTGATTTCAAAGCCGTGATTCTGGGTGGCTGTGTGCGTGGCACATGACTGTCAGCCCAGCTACTTGGGAGGCCGAGAAACGACGATCGCAAATTTGAGGCCAGTCTTGGGCAATACAGAGAGTTCCTGTTTCAAAAAAGGTCTGAACACAAAAAGTTATTGGAAAAAGGAAATGGTGAGCGAAGAGACGGAAAGGACTGTAGGTATCCACCCGCGCAAACGTGACCATCGAGCTACAGGGGCAAAGGGCTGGCCTGGAATTGGCAGTATGAACACACTATTTCAAATGGATGTGCAGGTACCCTGGCGAGGTCCAGCATCAACAGCACACCAAGCCTCAGGACCTCGCAGCTTTCGGCCTCCCCGAGATCTGCTCCACCCTTCTCCACTGCGTTCTTCACCTGCCGACTTTTCTGTAGACCGCGCCCTAACTTGAGAAACACCTGGCCAAAGCCGCAGCACCGCGGGCGGCCGCCGCCCCGCACGCTAAACGCAACGCCGGAAGCAGAGCGCGAGCCCGGTGCGGCCGCGGAGACGAGCTCTGGACTGGCCGATTCTCATTGGCCTTTCTGGCTGCCAGTTACCGCTCTCCATTTGCTCCGCGCAGGCTCTGAGCGGCCACTGGGCGGGAACTTCCGGATGGGGAGGAGCACTGGGCCGAAGGCGGGGCCGCAAGGAGGAGGAAGCAGGCCTGGCCGGGCGGCGGCTCTTCAGGGCGGACGATGGACAGCCAGGGCAGGAAGGTGGTGGTGTGCGACAATGGCACCGGGGTAAGGCCAGGCGCGGCGGCCGCGCGCGCGCGCGTGTGTGTGTGTGTGTGTGTGTGTGTGTGTGTGTGTGTGCGTGTGTGTGCGTGTGGTGCGCGCGGGTCCGGGGCTGCGGGGCTGCGCTGCGGGCCGGCCGGGCGGGCGCTCGGGAGACTCCGGGCGCTCTCGCGCTCTCTTGCTCGGGGTGCGGGCAAGCTCCTTACGGGTCCTGGAGCCTACTCGGCTGGCTTGCGCACCCCGGCGCCCCGCGAGCGGCGGCCTGAGTGGAGTGGGTCGGTCTGTGCGGAAGCTCGGGAAGGGAAGGTCTGGATTCACGGGTGGGAGAAGGGCTCCATTTTCTAGACGCGCCGGTGTGCGAAACTAGACTCAGAGACTTTCTTCTTGTGTAGTGGCAGATGCCGAACGGGAGGCAGGAAACCGGTTCACGGACAAAAGGGGAAGTGCTGTCAGGGCCTGGGCCGCAGCCCCGGCCCTTCCTGTCTGTCCCGGAGGACGTGCGGGCTTTGCAGTCGTTGAGCGTTTGGTGTGTGTTGTGCCCGTCACCTCGCTTGGACTCCGCGTTTCGTAGATGACTGGGGAGACCTAGGACCGTCCAGTTAATTCTGTCGTCGCGGAAAGTTGAGCAGTTCTGGTTCCACCTGGTCTCCTCTTTTTATTTTATTTTTTTTCTTAAGTGCAGGATACAGATGTTAGTCTTGAAGGTCCAGATTGTTAAAAATCAGACTGAGGCACTGATTTAGAAACGATTTGCAAGTGGTTTTTTTTCTACCCCTATCAAAAAAATGTATTTTGAAAGCCAAGTGTGGTGGCACAGGCCTTTAGTCCAGCACTCAGGAGACAGAGGCAGGCGGATCTCCGAGATCCAGGCCAGCTGGGCCTACAGTGTCTCAAAAATAGTAAGTAACGGGGGCTGGAGAGATGACTCAGCGGTTAAAAGCACTGACTGCTCTTGTAGACGACCCCGGTTTGAGTCTCAGCACCCACATGGCGGGGAACAACCGCGTGTAACTCCAGTTCCAGGGAATCCACTTCCTGTTCTGATCCCTGCAGGCATTGCATGACCGATGCACTTACCTACATGCAGGCAATGCACTCACACACATTAAGCAAGGGAAAAAAAAAAGAAGAAAATGTATTTTGGGCATCAGAGTCACAGATTTGAAGACAAATGTTACTTTTGGATGAATTCTATAGTGATTTCTAACCATTTCAGTGTTGCAATATTTTGTGATTTTTGTCCCTTCCCACAAATGTGACGTACGAATTAACCTCCTTGGAATTGGATTGGGAAGAGAGAGCTGTTATTCACTGCCATCCTACTTTTTTTTTTTCCCTTCCAAAGATGGGGTCCCACTATCTAGCCCTGACTGGCATGGAATTCACAGAGAACCACCAGCCTCTGCTTCCCGAGTGCTGGGATTAAGGGCTCTTGATTGCATTTATTACAAACTTTTACAAGCCATTATTGTACTTGCTTCATTTAAGCTAGGATTGAACTAGAAGAGGGTGAGTAGTGTAAGGGCATTTTACCACTGCTGTGGTGAGATTGCTGTGGTTTGGTCCAAGGTTTAGTAACTTAAAAAGTTTTTGAGCAAACCATTTATGTGTGTTCATTAAAGATTTTTGAAAAATACTATTTTTATTTTATGTGTATGAGTGCATCGCCTGCATGTGTGTAAGTGCAGTGTGGGTCGTGCAGTGCTCAAGATGGTCAGAAGAGGGCATTGGATTCCCCTGGAACTGGATTTACAGACAGTTGTTACTGCCATATAGACACAGGGAATTGAACCCTGGTCCTCTGCTAGTGCTGAGCCATCTCTCCAGCTCCTCATTAAAAATTTTTATATGTCCATAAACTTCGTGTAGAGATACATTAAAAATGCATCTCATGAGATGAGGGATGAGGACCGCAGGAAGATTTCACAACTCTTCTAAATTATGGGGAAAGGGTTTTTGTGTTTTTAAATAAAGCATGGTTTATTGCACTATATTTAGATTAACTATAAACATTTTAACATTTAGATTTTTACTTTTTGAAAAAATTGAATGTGTATGAGTGTATCGCCTGCATGTAAGTACACCAGTGTCATGCAGTGCCTGAGGAGGTCAGAAGAGGGTGTCAGAGTCCCCTAGAACTGGTGTTACTGACAGATGTTAACCACCATGTGGTTGCGGGGGATCGAACCTGGGCCCTCTGCAAGAGCAGCCAGTGCTCTTAACTGCTAAACTGTCTCTGCAACCCCTAAGTTTTTACTTCTAAAATCCAGATTAAAGTGCTTGTTATAAAAATACTACCTTGGTGCTGGCAAGATGGCTCTGTGGATAAAAGCCCTTGTGACACAAACCTGATTACCTGATGTTAACTCATCAAACTCTCTTAAAGGTGGAAGGAGAGAATTGGATTCCACAAAGTTGTTAGCTAACCTCAACACCCATGCCTTGACAGTTGCACCCACACATATAATAAATGAACAATTAAAATACTAGCGCTGGGCATGATGGCTCATGCCTTTGATCCCAGCACTTGGGAGGCAGAGGCAGGCGGATCTCTGTGAGTTCGAGGCCAGCCTGGTCTACATTCTGAATTCCAGGCCAGCTGGGGCTACAGGGAGACCCTGTCTCAAAAAGACCAAAAAAAAAATAAATAAATACTAGCTTGAGGTCAGGTGTGGTGGTGCACGCTTTTAGTCCCAGCACTTGGAAGGCAGAGGCATGTGAATCCCTGTGAGACTGAAGCCTGGTCTACATAGTGAGTTCCAGACCAGTTGGGAGACCCTCCTGTCTCAAAAAAATGAGAAAAAAAAAATACTAGCTTGAACATGGTAGTATACTTCTGCAATCCTGGCATTCTGGAAGTTAAGACCAGCCTAGTCTACAAAGTGCATTCCAGGCCAGCTTGTGCTACATAACAAAACCCTGCACTCCCCACCCACCATAACAGCTTGATTTCCACTATATCTCAAATTGACCTCTAAATAAGTTTAACACTTTAAAAATTGAATTTGAGATATTTTGTGACCGTCAGATACTCTCTTTGGAAATTCAAACCATTTATGTTTAGTGGGTTCTGCTTTGAGGGGTGGAAGGTGGTATACACTATATTGGTAGTATAAAATATATTTGAGGTTATTTAGTAGTTGGTTTGCAGTGCTGAGGGTAGAACTCAGCGCTGGTGCATGCTAACTAAGCACTACCACTAAGCTTCATCCCCAATCCTCAAACTGATTCTTGTTACAATTTTGTCAATAGTTGCAAAGCTGATTGTGTATATTATTGTTAGTTTTACATATAGTCCATACTTTGAAAAATCCTGTTCCTTAGAGAAAAAGATCAGTTACTGTGGCATAAATGAAAGTAGTTAATTCAAACACAAAGTTACATATTTGGTATTACTCTTTAGGTACTTAGAAATTTTATCTGCATTTTCTGTAAGTGTGATTAGCTGTAAGTGCAATAGCTCTGGAATAGTGCATAAGTTGTCACAGTCAGGAATGCTGTGATAGTTCTGAAATTTTTGAGAGCTCAGAACCACTTGGATTCCATATTGTTTCACTATTCTGTAGTCACTGTAGTTTTATTCGGAGAGCTGAAGTTGTGATGTCTCCACAATAAAATATTAAAACACTGTTTGTTTCTTTGTTTGTTTTTGTCTTTTTGAGACAGGGTCTCCCTGTAGCCCCAGCTGGCCTGGAACTCACTATGTAGACCAGGCTGGCCTTGAACTCACAGAGATCTGCTTGCTCTGCCTCCCGAGTGCTGGGACTAAAGGCGTGTGCCAGCACACCCGGCTTTTATTTATTTTTTTAATTCATGGAAATAAGGGCTAGAGAGATGGCTCTGTGGATAAAGGTCCTGAGTTTGAATCCCCAGAACCCACATAAAGCCAGGCACAGTAGCATGCCTCTGTAATCTCAGTGCTTCTACCAAAATGTTAGGCAGAGACTGGAGAATCCTGGACATCTTGCATGCCAGCTAATCTTGTGTTTGCAGCAGTGAATAACAGAAGAGAGGTCCTATCTCAGGCAAGGTGGAAGTTGGGGACCAGTACCTGAGGTTGTCCTCAGATCTGCACATATACACCACGGCATGCATGCACCCCAACTTTCACATGTGAACCCTCACACACCATCACCCCCCCACCCCTTCCATGGAAATAGGGGCTAGAGATGTAGCTCAGTAGAGTACTTGCCTAGCATGGGGAAGCTCTGGGTTCCATCCCAGCACTACATAAACTAGATATGGTGACATATACCTGTAATCCCACCCCCTGGGAGGTGGAGGCAGGAGGATCTCAATTTTTTTTTCATGGAAATCATGAAAGGTGATTTGATTTGCCCATTATTTTTTTAATTACAGGCTGTTTGAGAAGATTATTTTTTGTGGTGCTGGGTATTGAATCCAAGGCTTTAGACAGGGTAGCTCCCACTGAGCTTGTCTTTAGCCCTGAGACATTAATTTGTGTAATCCCTCTCCAGGTCTGTAGTTGGATGGCTGCTGGAATACAGGTGTGTTCTTTTGATCCCATGCCAAATATTAGACCTGCTCTATTTTCTCATTATTCCCCTGCTAGACCCTTGTCTCTGTAGAGAAGCCTAGAGGGGAAACTTCTGCTTTTTAGAATAGGCCTTCTGAAAGTGACCAGATAGGTAAAAGTCTGAACATCCTCTTTAAACTGGGTCCCTGGTGTTACTAATTCAGTGTTACTAACTTCAGCAGGAACTGACTACAAGTGGGCTCATTTACCAAAGGAATGCAGGTTTCCCAGGTGACTGCTCTGAGACAGGCACTAAGGTTTAGAGATGCACAGAAGCTTATAGTGCTAGAATATCTTCACTTAATAGTCACATTTGTAGTTGATTGTAGTCTACTTTATCAGGCTTATGCTTATTTATATGTTGAATATAGGAGTGTTTAAATAAAACAAAACAAAAGCTTTGATTTCACCTTGTAAAAGATGCCCTGAAATGAGAACAATCACCATAAAATTAAAATTCCAGCCAGTA